CAAAGGTGGGAAGGGAATAGGGAGAGAGACACGAGGGTATCTGGACAAAGAGCATTCCAGACAGAGAGAAGAGCAAAGTAGGAAGACTCTGAGCTAGAATTGTACCTGGCTCACAAGGAGGTCAGCACGCTGGAGCAATGTGAGTGAGGGAAAGAGAAGTAAAAGAGGAAATAAGTGGTGGGAGGAGCAGGGATGCTGATGGGGTGGTGCAGGGCTTACAGGCCATTGAAAGGACTTTCACCTTGACTGTGTGAGAGGGGAGTGCCCAAGGGTTGGGCATAGGTGATGGACATTATATAGCTTATGTTTTATGAGGAACATCTAACTGCAGTCTTACACAGAGACCAATAACCCAGTCAAGAGACAGTGATGGCTTGAATGAGAATGATAGCAGTGGAAGAGGTAAGAGCTGCCTAAATATGCATGTATCTTGAAGGTAGGGTTGACAGGACTTGATGGCAAATTAAACATAACGTGTGCAAGGGAAGACTCAAGGATGACTCTTAGGGTTTTGGTCTGAGTTAACTGGAAAGATGAAGATACCGTTTACTAAGATGGGAGAGACTATTGGGGTAGTTCGTTTGGGAGGGAAAACTCAGAAGTTTAGTTTTGGACATGTTCACTGTGAGATCTTATCGAGCATCTAAATGGGGATATTAATTAGGCAGTTGGATATATGGGTCAGGAATTCAGGTGAAATGTCCCTGATAAAGATACACATTTGGAGGCCATCAGCCCAAGGATTTAAACCAGCAATTTTCAAGCTGTGTGCTGCAAGAACTTTTAAAACATGCAATACCTGACCTCTTTTCCCTTAGACTGTCAAATAAAAAATATGACAACAGCCAACACAACAATAGCCATCTGGTGTAAATGAATCAAAATTGTACCTATATTTTTTACTAGATTGGCAAAAAGTGTGCTATTTTTTGGTGTGTTGAAGAATTTCAGTAATTAGTTTATGTGTGCCATGAGATGGAAAAGGTTGAAATTCTCTGATTTAAATCCTGAAACTCGTGGAGATCACCTGGGAATAAGCATCAACAGAGAAGAGTTCCAATGACTGAGCCACAGCACATTCTAATGCTGAGAGGGAACCAGCAATGGAGTGAGACGGATCAGTTTCCTGTTGTCTGCTTTTGTCGATGAGCTGCGCTAGGCCAGCACTATGTTAGGAGCTGGGCAAACAATCAATGAGACTGGCCCCTGCCATCAAGGAGCTCACAGTCAATGCAGGAAAGGAGTCACCTGAATGCAGTGTGGTGACTGCAAAAGACGCACCTGGTAGGGTGGGACCAGGGAGACAGAACTCTTGGCCCAGGCTGGGAGGGCCACAAGGGTCTTTAAAAGACATAACACCTGTAGCTTAAAGAGTCACCAAAAGTGAGCTGAGTGACGAAGGAGAAAGGGCAGAAGGGCGAAACAGCCTGGAGCTTGCTGAGAAATACACACTTATTTGGTGCTGACATCTCTGCCTCTGAAAATAGCTCTGTCTCTAATGAGGTTAGGCTCTAAAGTGCTGAGATACTTCATACAAACACAAACATAGATAACACAGCCGGAAAGTTAGTTACTCTGGCTACACCGCTGCATCAGGTTGAAGAAGTCTGGGGTCAACTTGCCACCAACTTCAACATCTTAAAATGCAGGCGAAGGGCAGGGCCCCTGCCACAGACCACACATCTGTAGCTGCGACGGGGCAAAGTCTCCCCATCAGCAGTTAATTCTGGGTTGCAGCCGGGACCATATGGTGGTTCCATTCTTTGTTTGTCTTTGTTTTCATTGCAAAGTGAGTGTGACAAGCACAGAGTGTTCCTAGCAACAAACGGACTGTGGGTGAGAGAGGAATTGCTCCTTGGGGAAGCGCCGGGACAGCCACTGGACGACGCCCCTTTCCATGTCAGAGAGCCAACTGCCACCGATGACCCAAAGCAAGCCGGGGGCGGGGGGGGGGGCGGGGGAGCAGTTGGAAAAGCCCTTATCCGGAGCTCGCTCTGACAGCAGGGTGTTTGTTAAGGCAAGAAGTGTCCAAGTCAAGTGCCCCCACACTGTGCATCTTTTTGTAAGTATCAAGGTCTGCAGCCTCCCTTTCTCCAGCTCTGGCTGAACTCTGCCCCCAGACATTTACTTCCCAAAGCCATCAGCCTGCTGAGTTCTCTTTGTGTCCTTTACCATCGTGTTAATGCCCAGTGTCCTCCTACGTTTTCTTCATTCCTCCAAACACAGCTGCCACCAGGTATCTACATTTATACCAACCCACTCAGGTTACTCTTAAAGGAGCCAAATCTCACGACAGAGACAATAGGATATATTTCGGAAGCATCTGGAAAGGGCTGATCAATCCATGCTGCACCTGAGGCAAAGCTAGAGTAAAGCAAAGGCAAAGACAATACCCAAACCATATGCTACTATTATTACAACAGAAATTTCTTCTCTGCAAAAATAACAGTAGCTAACACACATGCTCACTGTGTGCCACACACTGTTCGAAGCATTTTTATGTGTATTTAATCTTGACAACAACCCTGAAGCAGGTAATATTATTTTACAGGTAAGGAAACTGAGGCCCAGAAAGATTAAGTAAGCTGAGTTTCCGCGGAGCTACTATTTGGCAGATCCGGAGTTTTGGGGCTACTCTTAAGCTCTGGCTATTCTGGGTTTTTAAGACCCAGGTGCTTTTCCAGGACTTACATTTAATACTGAAGATTTTTAGTGTAAGAAAGAATCTGGAGTATTTTAGTCCATTACTATAGAATAAGTCAATACCACACATATTTAGCATAAGAAGTTGATTTAGAATATTTTAGAATAGATTTAAGTCTTTTGGCTCTGTATACATTTTGATTTTCCCCCTGTTTTATTTAGGCCCAGGGTAGAATTTTATATGGAATCAAAAGATTTATTTTTTATAGTGATTCACCACTTTATTATAATGGCTTTTAGCTACAAATAACAGAAAACCCAATTGGAGCTGGAATAATAACAAGAACCTTTATTGTGCCACTAACAGTAAATGCAGAGGTAAATGTGCACCCACAATCAGCCACATATCCAAGCTTACCTCAACACTCCCAAGGAAAATGAAATCACCTTGCTTAGACCAATCTTTGTTCACCCCCTGAGCTCACAGACTAGCTATGCATGAGTTCCCCAGCAAAGAGGGTCAGCTGTGGGCGGACAGCCACTGTGGTCTCCTTCCCAGTAACTTCAGGGAGTAGGCTGGAGAATACAGTTGAGAATCAGTGCCAAGAAATAAAAGAATGGTATTTTGAAGGTTCATCCTCCTTTTATTGAAATACTTAACTTTTGCCGAACCGGTTTGGCTCAGTGGATAGAGCGTCGGCCTGCAGACTGAAGGGTCCTGGGTTCGATTCTGGTCAAGGGCATGTACCTTGGTTGCGGGCACATCCCCAGTGGGGGGCGTGCAGGAGGCAGCTGATCGATCTCTCTCATCGATGTTTCTAACTCCCTGTCCCTCTCCCTTCGTCTCTGTAAAAAATCAATAAAATATATTTTAAAAAAGAAAAAGAAATACTTAACTTTTGTCTCAAGCCTGAGTTCCTTTGTTGGTGGCTGACAGCCAGAAGGGAAGACAGGCAACCGACGGTGTAGAGCAGGGAAGACGTATGAGCTTAGAGGATTGGAGCCCAGGTCTCCAGACAATAATGGACAGCTCTTGAGCCCTTCCTCTATCTCAGTCTCTCACTGGTGCTCAGCAGTATTATTACCCACTTTCGTACATAATAAAACTGAGTCTCAGTGAGGAGAAGTTCGTGGGACTATGGCTTGACTCTCTACAGTCTGATTCTGGTGTCCTTGCTTTGACCCTACACTGGTTTCTCTAACTACAGTCTGGGGATTACCTGCATCAGGCTCACCTGGAGCACTTACTTGCAATGCAGATTCCCGGCTCCAGCCCAGTCCTCATTCAGCAAGCCATCTGTGCACAAGGCTCACGGGCAGGCAATTGAGCAGCATTCCCCATGCTGAAGTTGAAGAACGGGTGGGTGATAATCTATTATTTCCCACCTGTGTTCGGACCTTGGACAAGTCCTTGTTTCCCCTTGGGCCTCATTTGCCTCACTTGTAAAATCAGGATGGGTAGGTCACTTCCAGCTCAAAAACTGATTAGAATTCATCTTTAAACCCAACAACCTGACTACAACCAGCCAACTGGCCCTTTTTCATGGATCTTCTTATCCCATATAATAACAGGCTAATATGCAAATTGACTGAACAGCAGAATGACCGGTCGCTTGATGCGCACTGACCACCAGGGGGCAGACGCTCAACACAGGAGCTGCCCCCTGGTGGTCAGTGTGCTCCCATAGGGGGAGTGCCGCTCAGCCACAAGTTGGGCTCACGGCTGGCGAGTGCAGCAGTGGTGGTAGGAGCCTCTCCTGCCTCTGCAGCAGGACTAAGGATGTCTGACTGGTGGCTTAGGCCCGAGGGCTCCTGGACTGTGAGAGGGCGCAGGCTGGGCTAAGGGACCTCCCTGAGTGTTACATAATAATGTTATCAAAATGATATTTGAAGTGTCACAGAATTTAAACTTTGATGCACAAATTTTTGTAGAGCTTCCCTAGAAATCTGGAAGAACTAGCTGTCCCTTCTTGCAGTATATTGGAGGTTCCGGACCCTAAAGCCATGGGAGGGGACTGAACTTCTGTAGGTCTTCCCATTCTCTAACTTTTAGGCACTGCTGGGAAAGGAAATCATCGATAATTTTAATTTTCTTTCCCCTCTGAAATCAAAGTGGACATCTTTCCGAGGTTTAAACCAGGGCATCCTACACCCGTCATTAGCTCCAACCCATTTGGGTTTGCTTTGGTTTCAGTTTTCTGATTTTTTTTTCTTTGGAGAAAGGAAAACAAGAGCTAGGGGCATTGGCCAAACAAGTCCGGCCACTCAGTGGTGAGGTTTCCAGATAAGAAGGATCTGAAGGACTTCCCATGGGCGTGAGGGAAATCGCGCACGCCATCCGGGAAGGGGACCAGGAAATCACTTCTTGTTTTTGAAACAGCAGCAGGCTCTGCGGAATGGCTCTGTGAGGCTCGGAGCACAGGGCAGGGAGGCACCGGCAGGAGGGACGCCGAGCTTGGCGGCAGCTGCGTGAGGCTCGCAATGAGTCCTGTTTGGCTCTTTTTTCAGCCGTGAGGCCTTCAAGGAGGCCGAAGGGCAAATGGCCTCCTAGTGGAAACCGGGAAGCGTTGAGGCGTCTTTTGCAGCAGGAGCGGGTCTGGGGACTTCAGTGCTGGCCAGGTAACAGGCACTTCTCCTCCTGGGGTCTGTCTCCCTTTGCAGCAAGACCTCAGCAACACTCCTCTTAAGGCATCTTCCAGTTAAGAATCTCTTTGCCTAATTTTCTCTTTTGTAGGATACATGCAGCTGTGGCACGTATGTAGGATATGTGCAGTTGTGGCATTTATGTTGGATATGTGCAGCTGTGGCATGTATGTTGGATATGTACAGCTGTGGCTTGTATGTTGGATATGTATAGCTGTGACATGTATGCATCATGCATAGCTATGGCATGTATGTTGGGAGCGTAAAGCATGTGTGGTCAAGAGCATTGTGTAGCCTGTCGATTAAGTTGAGACTATGCTTAGGGAGACTGAGTATCAGACAATTAGCTGGGATCTTTTTAGTATATTCTCTATAATGGAATTCTTTTCCCTGTCACCTTTTTTTTTGTTGTTGTTGTTAATAAATTTTCCTGTCTCTGCGCTAGAAAATACCATAAAGACCAGGGCATTAATGAATCAGTACTGAGCGTTTCCATGGCTGGGCAGCCATGTTGCAGTTGTGCTGACCAAGGCGATGGCTGCAGCCGTGTGTAGCCAGAGCACGGGACATTCTGTCAGCTCAGGCCGGACAGGGGTGATCTCTGAAATGTTAAGAGTAAGTGTTACCTCCCACCCACTGACTGAGGGGACAGGAGTTTGCAGGCAGCCCTGGAAGGAAGTCAGGCAGAGTGCTGGGATTAAGAACGGGCAGACTTGACTGGAGCATTCGAGAAGGGAGGAAAAGTTCTCTGATGTATGGTTGCTTGAACCTTTTTTTCTTATACATTGTAGAAAGCCAGGCCACGCCACTACTGCAGCTCAGTTTTTCCTGACATGAAAGTTTTGGTCATTTTTTTCTGAATTATATCCCTAATGCATGAATACTTGTACTGTGACAGAATATCCATTATTTCTTCCCTTCCTCCAAATTAAATCACCAATAGTTTGCTGTGTACCTTACTAGTTAAATGACTTATTTTCTCTCTTCCTAACTCTTAGGACAAGCCAGAGCACACAGAAGTACAATAAATTTTCATTGTCAAATTCATGTATTGATCCTTAACATCTTCTTCCCACTGGAAATATAAAATAATACATAGGAAGTGTGGACAACTCTTTTAACACTTAAAAAAGTTTGAAAGAGTTTTAGTCATTTTTACCATTATTATTTTTGTGTTGGCTTTGGCTTTAGTAATTAATGATATTAAAAACAACTTCCCATGGATTAAACTCTAGATTTGCAACCTTGAGGTTTAGGTTTTTCTCTTGAAGACTATCAAAGGCAGCCTTGTTCTGGCAATGAAAGGGGAAAAAAGAAAAGAAAGGAAAACTAACTGGGGAACAGAGAGACCCCTAGATCAAATGCTTGGCTCAGGGAATATAGGTGAGTGTGGGAGAGACTCATTTTTCATTTCATGGATAAGACCTGTGTTTAACAGGGGTTTATTTTTATCTCTTTCAGCCTTCTGTAAAAAAAAAAAAAAAAATGGTGGTCATTGATCCTTCTTATCCTCCTTACATTGTTATGAGACAGTGAATAAGAAAAACAGTCACTGTTAATAAGCCCATGTAGCTCATGGAAAGAAAGTACAAATAAGCTATGTCAAATCCAAGAATAATTGCAAAATACTTTCAGTTGCTACTGGTATTTGGTATTTTCTTGTCCTTATCAAGGTTTCTCCGCTCCAAATTCAAGGGTCATTGGCCCTGCTGGTTTTGGAAATTGGTGTTGCCTTCTTGACCATCTAGCCTTGGTGTTTCTCCCCATCCCTGGCTAATAGGATTAATCACTTCTCCTTACTGCATAGATCCAGCCCAGACTGAGACTTCCCCTTCTTTCACCACATCACAGGTGAAGTAGGTATCTTCTTCCCATTTTCATATATATATATATATATATATATATATATATATATATATATATCTTCATTGATTTCAGAGAGGAAGGGAGAAGGAAAGAGAGATAGAAACATCAATGATGAGAATCATTGATCGGCTGCCTCCTGCATGCCTCCTACTGGAGATCGAGCCTGCAACTCAGGCATGTGCCCTTGGCCAGAATCAAACCTGGGACCCTTCAGTCCGCAGGCTGACGCTCTATCCACTGAGCCAAGCCGGCTAGGGCGTGTTCCCATTTTATGGAATAAAAAAAGAGATGTTCAGAGGTTGTTTGCCCAGGAACATACAAGGAATCTTTCCGGAGCACTGAGATGAGAAGAAACCCATGTCTGGCTTTGGTCAGCGATATGAGGATAAATGTCAGGTGGGACAGAGAATTAAAGTGACAGAATTCTGGCAGCTTTGTAGCAACACGGACTCCAGGTTTGCTGGGAATCTGTAACTAGATCAAGCTATTGCCTGCTCCAGGTTTTAGCCAATTTTAACACCTGTTATCTAGTTGTATCTCTACAGAAACCTAACCCCCACCCCACTCACCCGCCAAAAAGAACAATGCCCAGACACCTCCCAGGAGCAACTGAATCAGAATCTCTGGGGAAAGGGCATGGGCGTGGGAATGGAATTATTATGTATTTTACTCTCTGAAGCGATTCATTTACTCAGCTGGGGTTGAGAACCCCTGAGTCCTAAATGTAGGAGAGAAAATGGCTAAACCAGGCAGCAGAAGCAATCCCCGTTCCTGTGCCTGAAAGTTGGGCCAGAAGTGCCCGCTGCTGTGAGCATCATGTAGAGGGTTCTGGTTGTTGCTGCTGCTGAGAGGAGCAGACACACCTCACAGCTGCCTGTGAGAGCGAGGAGTTTTCCAGCCCCCCCGCCCCCCGCCCCGGCAGGGCCCTGCCTTGCGCGTTTAGATTGGAATAGCCCCGCCGACTTCACTGCAGATACTGTGACTCCTGTTACTTGCAGATTTTACAAAATCAGATGAAATGTTCTAGGTAAACAGGATGTGCTCTTCTAGTGCCAAGTGACCGTGGGAGGTTATAGATTTTACTCAGTGTCGCTTTAATACGTTTTGTCCTGATTCCAAGAAAAAGGGGAAAAGAAATACTAATTATGCTTTGCTGATCTGCCACTTTCTCTATTGACCTGAATATGAATAGACAATAAATCAAGGCTGCTTTTGAATCATAAAATGTGCCCCTAGAACCTCTCTGCCCCGACATTTCTTGATATAGTTCAAGTTCATCGCTGTAATTGTTGCCTCCTCTATAGAGGCCCTGGGAGGTCCCTTTCCCCTTCTCTGAGTCCCCCCAACCCCCCCACCCCCCCACCCCCCACCTCCTCCGCCACCCCCATGCCTGTGAGTTTGGGCACAGAATAGATGCTGCAAGAAAAGGCTTGTTGGGTGAAAAGCATGTGTTGGCTGTGGGTACATTGTGAATTCACGAGTTTAGTTCCAGCTCAGCATTTCAGCCCATATTGTATGACTCTGGTTGTGATGGTTAAAATAATTAGAATATTGCCTATTTCTTAAAGGTAATACAACAGTAAAACTTGTTAAATCACAGCATAGTGCAGGAATCTCCACGGGAGAGACTTGCTATAGAATTAAAAAGGCAAATAATCCATTCCTTTAAGCTTATACTCTTCGTGGGCGGCAAGGCTCAGGCATTGAAAAATTTAATAATAGGCAATAATTACCGAGTGTGCTCAGTGCTCAGTGCTCTATAAAGACGAACTCATTTGGTTATTACAATCATCCTATACCTCAGCTGCTATTCTAATGCCTGTTTTTTAGATAAGGGGACAAAATTCTAAGTAAGGTGAGGAGTTCAGATTTTGGCAGCAGACTCAGCTACTTACTGTGTGATCTGCGTATGTCCTTTCATTTACCCAAACCTCAGTTTCTTCACCTGTAAAGTGGGGATAATGTAGCTCTAACAATGAAGGATTGGAAGAATTAAATGAGCTTAGTGCATGCACAGTGCTGAGCCTAATGCCTGACACAGAGCAAGGGCTTGATAAATGATAGTAATTATTGTCACTACGTAAGATGAGGCTCAAAAAGGAGGAATAGAGCAGTCCAGTTGCCAAGAATAGTATAGAAGAAGCTGAGAGACAGCAACCCATTCAACCAATAGTTATTATCAATGCTTATGGCATATTTTGCAAAGGAAGGTACAGTATAAGCTTGTGAGCAGGTCAGCCTGCTCTGTATCCAAGTGCTATGGGAGGAACATGTGGCACATCTGGGTTTACATGAGGTTGTGGTGATCAGCTTGCCAGGTGAATTGGCTCAAATACTCTCTGGGCATTTGAGGTTTAATGTAGTATAGTAGCAATCTATGAAAAATAGTGCTGTACACAAATTGATCAGCCTGTGCTGTGATCGGTTACAGCAGTGGTTCCCAAACTTATTTGGCCTACCGCCCACTTTCCAGAAAAAATATTACTCAGCGCCCCCTGGAAATTAATTTTTTTTAAATTTTAATAGCAATTAAACAGAAAGATATATGTATTAATGTTTCTACCTTTTTCGTAAAATATAGTAAAGAAAGGTGTAAATTAGAAACATTGAAGTTTGAAATTATGAAACTATTTATTGAACTCAGAATAGAAAGGTAATACAAAAAAAGTTAAAACAAATGCACCTGTGGCCATCACCGCCTCCCTGGATCGCTGCAGCGCCCACCAGGAGGCGGTAGCGCCCACTTTGGGAATCACTGGGTTACAGGGCAGAGAAGAAAGGAGGGAGGGGGCCCATTGAGGAGATTCCTGCAGTCATCCAGGTGTGAGATGACAATGTGCAAACCAATGTTGTGGCCAAGGGAAAGCAAACATCAGCAGTGGAGTCATGAACAGAACGTAGTGACTGGTTGACTTAGTGCCCCCACTAGTGCCCTTGATTCTTGTGTCTAAGGGCACCTGAGGGGGTTGTGAGCCAGGAAACTGGGAAGGAAGTCTGCCGTTGGTAAATCTGAGCAGAGGTGGGTGAGCTGACAGCATTGGGAGAGAAGGAGGCGTGTTCAGTGCTAGATGAGTTGAATTTAGATTTAGTTGGAAATAGCACAGTTGGAG